AATAGGCGATTCGAACCGGTAATCAATTCATCAAAGCGGTGCATGCGAACCGAATGCCCAGAAATGGGTCATTATTAAAGATCACTCCATTCAATCCTCAGCCGCACGACAACCATCTCTTGCACGAAACGATATGTATATTTAAAACAAATGGTTAAAAATTGCACTTTCGCCGCCGGCCTTCCATATGCCGATGCTAGCACCGCTGTAGACAACGTTCTACCGAAATCCCTAGGGCCTTAAGAGCTCGTATCATAGAGATATACGAGCGGTAGAACCGCTCTCGGTGCATTGACAGCTTATATTTTTCACGCTGAGACTGAATCCGTGGGCGAAGAGATCACTCACAATGCAACACGCCTGTAGCTAGGCTCTATTCCTCGCTTTATAGGTGGATGATTTAGCTTTGAGGGCATATGGGTGATTACTAGTTTGATGCATAAAAGATCGAGCAGGATTTGTAATCAAGCCCAGCTACGAAACTCGATGTGCTCTTGACCATTAACGCCAAAGGTGAATAAGCATAATTCGTCGAATGCGGGGAATAAATATATCGCGTGTACATTATCAGAGTACAAATTGATGAAATCAAGCACTACCATACTCAGTTTTCCAGTACCCGCCAACCGGCTACCTGTTAAACGGCCACCGTTTCCTCGGTTGCGTTCAATAGCCTCGAAGGACGACGGAGTCCGTGGCCTCACAAATTTGCCGATGCAATATGAGCAGCTATGTAATTGTCGTCGACTGTGACCGAATAGTCTACGACCCCCTGGCCAATCCCATCAAACATTCTAATCATCCGCTTTTAGGGGCTGACTCATACTCCTGCGCCTAATTATACCACTTCGGTGAAACTTCGTTCAGAGTGACTGCGGTACACCCTTGTCGTTGCCAGAGCTTTGCATAATAAATGAAAATTTGGTCCATCCGCCTTCAGCGATCGACTTTCGAAATTTCGACGTGTATTTTGATTCCACCGTAGACCAGCATATGCACTGGTGTAATGCTATTTGCTTCACACGCTACAACACATTCTAGATCAATCAAAAACTTTCCCTCACTGATTGTAGTGGCCGGCAGTTCAAACGATGTGATTTTCACGTGCATCTAAAATGCCTTTTATGTCTTACAACGCAGGTGGCCACGGTATCTTCGCCTCAAGGACCTTATTTTTTATATGACCCGCTCTAAGCACCTAGTACGTTAATACCACTATGGTCATGTACAATTGGAAAATTTGAATACCCACTCTTTGAATTAATAATCGTTTTTGCTGGCTTGCGCTTCTAAATCGACCACGGACCCGAACAACCACTGCCTCCACTTGGATTCCATCTCTTGATCAAGACACCGTTATGCTTCTCTCGTTCGGACGCACGTTTTCAGACGGAAAGAAATTGTCTCAATGGTCCAGGTGTAGTAGAGGAGTGTGTGCAAGGAGAGCTATCAATCGTACAATCCAAAATTTTCAGATAATTTACCAAGAAATAAATCGACTACTTTCATACTTTTTTTGTTAAAATTCCCATTCGCAATCCTACAGTACTTTTAGAATCCATGAATACGCTTGCGTTACATTCATATATGAGGATTTTTCGAGGATTTCGATCTTGACATAAAATAATCGGGCGTGTCGATGCACGCCAAGGATTCATCCAGCAAAATCAAGGGAGTACGTAGATCACATATATCACTTTGTCTTACTTGATTTTATTCCCTATTTTGCGCTCGCTCCTCTTTTATGTATTTATTGCAGGTTGATGAAGGTTTTGTCACTTGCTTTCATACGATTGCTTTAGCACGATTTCTTCCGGTCGTCATAAATCTCGCACGTCACTCGGCTCTGAAGGTGACGACATTTACACATGCGGCCAAATGCTGCGGCGATTTGGTAGCTGACACAACTCAATGGTCTGTTTGAGTAATCAAGCAGTTCGCCATCACGTTTAATGCGGGGAGATAGCCGCAGCCGCTTGCGGAATAAAGTTGCAGCTTAATCTCGAGGTCAATTAAAAAGAGAAAATGACTGATATGAATAAGGAACGACACAATGGTGTCTTGCTTTTAAAGCTCAACAGCGAGAAGAGGGGCAATTGTGCCAAGGTCACTAGCCAAGTACCTATCGGTGATGCACCAAAGCTAATCTGCTGGGCACAGGATGAACAGAATACTAAACAATCGTTTGTTGATCACACAACTCATCATTTTTTACGCAACAGAGCTTGCAAAAACTAGGTATGCTCTCAAACAATCTCGTCACACGCGTGTATGCAATTTGATAAGTTAGGCAAAATTTAAAACTGGGCAAAATCCCTATTTCGATTACTGCTGGATCATTTGACGCACAGAGATCGTTGGTCTACACGTACGCTACATGGGTTGCCAAAGTATATGAAGAATGGTACTGCAAGGATTATGTCTCTCAAAATAAATTGAATCCGTGGCATAAAAATGTCATAGCTACGACCATTTAAGAGTTATAGGCCCGAAACAAACTGCATAGATTTATCATGTACATCGGATCTGCGATACTGTTTCGACATCATGTGAAGTAACTATCGAGCCATCGTTTGAACCCCAGAGCCTTGCACCTATATAGCCAACTTTGATCGATCTTATTGCGACGGTATAAAAAGCCACTTCACTTGGCGGTATATGCATGACGATCCACTATCTGTAAAAGCCACCTGGCCGCAAGCTGCCTAGTAAAAAAAATGTGTCCTATGCGAACGTCAACGCATGACAGTGAGTATTCCAGTTCTCAGATTTTGTTGGTCAGCTATATAGGATCTGTCATCATTTTGCTGATGCCAATAATAACTTGTAGCGACATGCGCTGTAAAATTAGTAGTAAGTTAGATCTGATGACAGCGCGCGTAATGGACGTATTACAACAAGCCCTGTTGTAATGACAGCCAACTTTCTGTTTAATTTTCAGTCGAACTTCTCGTAAACACTTATTTTTAGGAAGGATCTTGTCAATTGCCACTTACTTCACCACTTTGACAGCAAACGGAATTTCGCGTTTTTTCTAATTTGCACAAATGTTATGTCATGCAAATGATTGGGCCTTCCAAATACGTGGGCACATACGGATGCCAGTGAAAAAGCTTGGGTTTATAATCAAGCCACTCGAGCCAATGTCGTGCTAGTTTTCTTGGTGTCTATGCTACGAGAAAGTGGACTCTCTAAGAACCGCTTGTAACCGGCTATCACGATATTCGAGGATTGGTAGGACTTTTCAAGCTGCCCCTAATATTTCACGATTATGGCTTTGTACGGAGCCAGATTATCGCGCTCGTTGGTCAATGCTGCATCTTCCTACAGTCTACTTGAACTTCACGGAGGGGTTGAGGATGGAACTGGGGAATCAATCTTTGTCCGTGTACTCACGCGCTGTGTCCGTAGTCAAAGTCTATTCGTCACTGCCTTATAAAACATATTGCGGTTGCTTAAGAGCCGGAATCCATCCGATACGCTTTTGTCTATGGAGCGTAGACTCCATGAAAGGAGAAGCGGGCGCTCCACCCTACCTATGAACGCGAGCTTTTGCAACTAATATAATTCTTGCATAGCTTCAAGTACAAGATAGGATTCGAGCACGACCGTCAACTGCAAGCAGCGGTTTGATTGTACTTTTGCTATTGTAAGCACCGGCTCCTGCAATTCCTTCAATCAAGCCAAGTTAAGTAATCGATCAGAAAAGTTAGAAAAAGGCTTTTTAGATCTGCAGGCAAGCAGGGTCTCGCAACATATAAGATAATATGTAATTACATAGTACATGTACAGATGGCGAATCTGTTGCGCCGAAGGCAACGTTGGTACTGTCAGCATATCCTTACTGACCATCAATCTGATCATGTTATAGCGAAAGAAAAGACACTTGATGTTAATGCGCGCTTTCGAAATACAATAGTTTAAATGTACCTCCGTCGACGACCAGGGCTTTATTATGTATGCATACTTTATTGGGTACAATGATGTGTCACGACATTTCGTCAACATGAAGATTTATATTAAGATGATGGCGGCCACTTCAATCCCCCCAATGTGTTAAAAAGTCCTGAGGGGGATAATCGTAGTACGATTCCCACAGTAGCTGAAAAACCTGCCACTACCTCTTCGAAATCATGGTTGGAATATACCGAATATAGTGGGTCGTTGCGTGCCCTAATATACCTTAAAACAACCAACATGAAGAGGTATGACAAACTTCAATTTCCATCGTATGGTGACTATTACGTAGCTCACAGCTACCAAAAAGACGTACAACATGCAAAATTATTAATCGAGACCTTTTCTTCCCAAACTTGCCACCACTGCATGCACTCGTTGTGATCGCGGCACTACCTAATAAATAAACACTTTTGGTGTGCGCGAACAATGGATGCAGAGCGATCTTGTATTTCGTACCGATATTGACCTCGATTCGGTTACGTTCAGCGCCCCAAAAGATTGCTTAGAATCTTGCTTGACTGAATTGCGTCCGACTTGCTGTCATATGCGAGCATTTCAAGCATCACATCAAAATTATTGGAAGTCACTCTTACACCACGGCCATATATGATTTGCACGTGAAAAGAGGATACAATCCGTATATACCATTGTCATCCCGTCGTCGATATACAGACATTACTCGATGCGGCATCCCGTCGTCGATACACAAACATTCGATCGATGATTATGACCGTCAGCTGTATATCAACCTAGTGACGCGCATGAGTCGCTTCGACAGCAATTCCCAGTAGTCTAGTCAGCGACGCCTTATATCGATCATTTACAGACCATGAAAAAAGATTGTCCGACTCGGTCCACGCCAGCTACGGCACGTTATAAAGTTGGGAGATCCACCTCTGCAGTCTATCTAGATGCCTTGGAACACGTGGTCCCACTTATCTTTGTTACCAATCAAAGCCATGCATCGATGGGAGACTTTAAAGGTACGAATGAAAAAATGTAACACGAATCGTTTTACACAAAAATGTCACGATACACAGCTACTCATAGTTTCGGGCTATCTTGCTCTTTGAGTACAAAAAGAATCGACGACGAATACCGTTCGACCGGAGATTGCCGGAAAAAGCCACGAGCATCGTTGCGGCGACGACAATGACGAAAAATCCAGCCGGGAAAACATATACCAAACCAAAACCGTGAACCCCGTGACGTAGCTTGGCTTCCAAAGCTCCCGCATTTTCTCCCGCGATGTACGCTGCGTGTTCGATCAAAGAGACAGTATCGCGAAGTTTGTGCTTTTTTACTTTGATACCATCAGCTTTCTTCGTCTCTTTCGTCGTTGACCCTGCAATTCCATCCTTCTTGCCTTGACTGTGCAGCTTCCAGCCATGGCCAACCGTCATTTCCACTTCTGTGGCATTCTGATACGGAACCCAATGCAGTTGCCCGCAGGAGTTGGTCTCGTTCATCCAGCCATCGAGAGAGATGTTTGCAAACGCGAGGTACTGCTCAAAAGACCGCACTTTGCCAAAGCCATACTTCTCAAACTCATACGTGTCAACGAGTCCCTTTATAGGCAATCCAAGACGGAGTCGAACACGGTTGCGAGCCATTGTCGCATCAATGCCTTTCTTCACGGGATCTATTGGTGTAGTCCAAAAGCTCGCAGGCTTTTCCGAGTAGTTGTGGTACAAGACATTGCCAAGTCTACTCGGGGAGTACAAGTCGTAGCCGTGTGTCCAATAGTTGGCCGATCGCAGAAACTCCTCGCCATCCCAAAGCCATGGCGTATGCGAGTCAACAAGTACCTTGCGCTCAGCGTGGCATTTGCTAAACGAGTAGCCGCCACCCCACAGAGCTGCCATTTGTGGCATCCACGAGTCGCTGATCATACTAGCCCCAACGATACGTGTGAGATTACTTGTTTCCCCTTTTACGGTCGTGCAGAGATGAGGGATCGAGTTGTAGATTGCATTGTCCCCATTCTCCTTGATCATGAAGTCATGCGGGTGATGTGGGTAGATCGTCATGACAGCCATCTCATTGTTTATCGAAGCCCAGTCCGCAACGATGTTCTCGTCCCACCGGTTTGTGAAAATAGTGTGGGCGTCAACCTGCAGACAGAATTCTTGGTCCCCAACGAGTTTTTGCTGAAGATGACGTGCCGTGGTGCATCCAGCCGATTCTCCAGCGTCCCTTGTATCGACTGTAATCAGGGACTTGTATCTGCAATTCGTGTCTTCCGGCCACTCTTCAGCTGCTAATTTGCAGTATTCACCCAAGCAGGTAGAATCCCCTTTGTAGACTTGTTCCAGAATTCCAAAGTGTAGACGCTCGGGATAAGTAGCTCGCTTGAATGCAGTGAAGAGCGTCTTGCCACAACGATAGCCGTCTCGATAGGCGGAAGAGCCGATGAACATTTCGAAAGTGGCGGGAATGAAGGCTGGAGGCGGTCGCAAGTGGCTCTGTTCTGGAGTGAGTGGTATATGTTGTACCCTTGGGTTCAACTTGGTCGACTTGGTCCACTTGTTCCACGAGAGTGTAGAAAAGGCAGTTTCCGTGCCTGGGTTCACATCCACGTTTGCAACAGTTAAGGCCACTAGTGCTGCAGCAGTCGTCACGAAGCTCAACATGTCAGCTGTGCGGTCGAACGAAAGTCTGAAAATGACATTGGGCATAATGTCCGATGGGTCGGTTCGATGCGACTGGTCGCGATATAACGGCCCCTTGCATCATATAACGGTCGTCGGTGACTCTTCACGTTCCGATTACAAACTCGGTTCAGCGAAACCCACGAGTCGTGCCTCACTGACAGGTTCAACTACAAATGCATCTGGAGCATATACCTCGAAGTCACCAACAGCTGTTTGAATATGAACACGGTAACGGTGATGGTTGTACTTGTACTGATCAAACGACGCTTCGTATTTTTCGACCTCGCGTGGGTATGTCAAATAAATCAGTGAGTGATCTGTCACGGCTGCACCGTCTAGCACCGGTCTAAATTTCATTTATGAAAGCGGTTATACTTCTTGATACAAGTAAATCGAGGTATTGATTATCACATTTGACTAGTTAAGTGTAAACACGGAGTAGAAAAAGTAAGCAGGAAGTTGTCATATATTTTCATGAAAACATTCATACAATAATCGAATGGAGAAGCCATATTCGACAGCACTTTGTCTCGTGTAACTGCATATGAAATGCTACTACATTATACCTACAGGACTAATAAGCATTTCGGTAGCCATCTAATCATCTTTCGACATTTTTTGGTACAGCAAATGCATCGGATGATCGTACTTTCGAGCATGACTCATCCAAAATTTCTTGGCTTATTGCTGCATCTGGCCGTTTGCCCCGACCGTTGCGATACTATTATGCGACTCACCATGCTATCGGTCTAAGTTATGATAATATCGCGCAAGTCATCTGCACACAAGTACCATGTAATTGTATACAGCTTTATCGGGTCAAACGCAATACGCTTACAGGTTACAGCTGCACTGTAAAACGATTAATTCTCGTTCTAGGATTTCGTTTCTGATTACAAGATGATTCATCTACCTTATTCGCCCATCATTTTAATGCGTCGTCGACTCTTTGTATGCATACACAACCCGCAGACTTTTAACATTTTAGTGTTTGGTAGTTTTGGCCATTTGTGATGTATGACGTACAAACTCGAAAGACGACTTTTATTCATAAAAAGAATATAATATACGTTTTACAGAGTATGCACCTGATTCTACTTGGCAGTAGCCACCTGCTACACCTACTAAGTCATTAGGTTATATCGCTGATGTGAAGCGCTTGCCCGGGCTTTTGCAATCGAGAACTTTGGCGGCAATCGCAACCGCTGCGTGGTTATTTATGCACCTACGTATATCTTCGTAAATATTAGGCTTTGCTGAGATCCCCACTCTGGCTATCATGTCAACAATAACTGAATTACGTTATTACACAATTTAAGCTATCACTCTACGATGTTTTAGCTTTCAACAGATGCGGTAAACGATAACTTATTCCCTAAATTACCTGTTTCGTTGTGAATACCAAAACCTTTTGATAAAGAACAAATCAATATTTTTTATCAATCTTCTCGACACTAGTGGTCCGACAATGCTAACGGTTTTTTTTACATAAAGCTATAGCAAATATTTCGAGTGTCAGTTTTGCGCTCCGATGGGCTAGTCTTGCGAATCGTTTCGATTGCATAATATGCACAAGACCGTCGCGCAGTCTACGTCTTCTATCAAATGAAATTGGGGTATGCATATATAGTTTATATCGACAGTTTGCGCAAGTTATCCTGAGAATGGTGATCGTTACCTGATAAATTTAAGTCATCAATTAATGATATGTATTTCCAAAACGACCCGATATAAACTACCTATTAGTTGGCTATATCAACACGTATACCATTTTCTCCTCTCATTACATATAGGGAATTGCTAAATTTGCACGCCTTTTCCTTAGATTCACACCCTTCCTTCAAAATCTTATATATATATCCCTATTCATTTCAGATTCGATTTCTGACAAAGTTTTTACTCAATAATCGAGGCCATAAATTGGCAAGTAATACGTAAGAAATACGTAAGATATTTCTCACGCCTGTGTGAGAAAGATGAGCGAGCTCACCATGCAAAGCACATCTTCTAATAGAAAAAAGAGTATATGAGCTCTACTAGCACCTCAACGAATTCAAGCCACTCGGGTCGACCTGCGGCAGGTCATTATATATGCAAGGAAGCACAAACCAGGCACACATGACGAATAAATGAGCATTAAAATGTGGTAGCGCAGAAAGAAGAAAAAGTTGGGCACGGCGTCGTACAGAGTGAGTGCATGAAAAGAGTATCGCGGCAACTCCACCAGGCCCCACCATAAGTGGAAGGCGAACAGATAGCGCGAGGCGGGACAGGGTCCAGACTATCCATAGCCGAGAGCTCACTAGCATGAGTGTAGAGCTCACTAGGGATCGCACAAATCCCATGGCATCGTGCACGGTCTCCATGACGGCCATCGTCTGGACCACTTTGAGCGGCAGTGACACAACGTCCCACGGGATTTGTGCCACTTGTCTCCAGTCCAGATCGCCACCTTCACGCGCCTTGAGGACCGTTGTCACTGTTAGGTATAACACGGACGCCCAGCCGGCGCAAGAGACGTCATTGAAGGCCAGCAGGTACAAATTTTGTTGCGAGCACTACGCATACAAAGAGAGGGAACTATGGTCAGCCTCTGCGTTGCAATCTGGACACTAGTTTGTATATCCTCTTGTTCTCACCTTTTTTGCCCGCACGACCGTTCGTGGAAAGTCGTCAATAATAAAGCCACGACGGCATTCCGAACTCTTGATGGCGTCCTTGATGATACCGACGATAATCTTGTCGGTCACAAGTGCGCCCGACTCCATCGCGGCTTTGACCTTTTTGCCTATGTTGGTGCCAGCAGCTACAGTAGCGCGCAAGATTTCGCCCGTAGCCAAGTGGCAGAGGAAGTACTCGTCTTTGTACAACGGCGATTGCGTAGCTTGTATATATAGGATTTTGAAGGAAGGGTGTGAATCTAAGGAAAAGAGGTGTGAATTTTGCAATTCCCTACACATATTACCTCGAAACTCCTTCACATTTAGCCTCCACTCGAACGCAAAGCGTTATGACTCTTAGCAACAGCAAAGGGAGACTTCAGATGGAGAAATATGTAAGAAAGTGAGATATAAAGTAAATCATCACCTAGCCAGGTCTTCGTTCGTCTCGTAGTACTACTGTAAGCTTATCGATATCGTCGATTCTACGATATCAATTACAAAACGATAAGTCGATTCCATCGTTACACACAATCACGTAGTGTCGTCCTTGCCATGTGGTCCTTGGTATCGGTAACGAACAACATTATCAATAAAACGCATTGGTGTACTGACGCTTCGAACGTTGTCGTAAAGTTTTAATGTCGTATGATTGTCCACTACTACTTTGTGCTGATCTTACCTAACCTCTTTGATGTGATAATTTAGCCATGCGTATGTGTCTTAGGATAGTAACGTGATAGAAAAAAGTGCTGAACAGCGCCCATTTAAAATTCTCGCCTACACATTAAATGGCCAAGGAAAAATTTAAAGCTAGATAGAAATGGCAAATAAAAAGTAAACAATCAACTAGTTTGATCGAGGATCTAAAGTTGGGTTGGTAGTATAGCAGGCGATTATCTAGATGTTTACTTATATATTAATCACCAGAGTAAGATCTTGACAGACTAGCCCTTTCAGCTCGAGCGACATAATTAAGGTCTCGGAATCAACGAAAGCTTCTAATTCTTAAACATAAAAGCAGACGCGCACTATTCATAAGTATTTTTTAAAGATCTTATGGATAGAATACCCCGCATTCAGGCAAATGATTTGTTATTGACTGGTTTCGTATGTCCTCGATCTACATCTCGACTACAGATTTTAATGAGTCAAAAAAACTACGCGCTGGACTAATGAAAAGTATTGATCCTTTAAATTTTTACCAATACTAACACGAAACGGGAAGGGTAACAGTGTCTCGGATTCTAGACGTTTACGATGCTGTAGGTAGGTTAGAACCTACAAGCATTTAAACCTTACGTCTTCAAACTGTGAATTTATCGGTCTATGCGTAGGACATGGTAATGAAAGATACATGTCTCTATATAGTATATCCGCCCGGTATGTATGAATTTATCCGCTTATATTTAGAATGCTGGCATGTATAATTCGATTACAAAGGTTCAGTAAGTGAGAAGATTCGAGCAAAAGAATAGGTGCTAAAAGCGACAACTCGTGAATGTATAGGCATGTAATACGCCTACATGTGTCTGTTATGGTCTTGCATGCATCTTGCTAGCTACATCGTCTAATTTACTCCCGCATATGTAGATCAATACATAGTATGCTTTAAAATATACAAATCAGTTGTCATAGCCCCGCTACATTCTTAGAATATAAATTAAAAAAGAATATGTAAAATACATCGTATTTACTCTTGTAATTTAAGTTTTTAAAGTCGCAATACTGCTCGCTAGTTTTATCACTTCTTTTTTATGTAAGCAAGTTCTTCTTTATATTTTCGTTTTCCTATTCTCGATATTTATCGAATAATACAAACGTTGGCTGTATTACGAATTGCGAATTATTCTTTTTTTGTTTGAATGCTTGTCGGTGCGTACTACATGTTCAGATGTGCGTCTACCGCCAAATTATAAATTTATAGCAAAGGTAAACAAATCTTGCTGATATGTCTGGTGTTTCATACGTCGAAGTCGGTGTAACAAAAACGTAGCTATTTTGCGGAAGCGAGATGAGTAAAAGTAAAAACTGTTGTAACATTAATCTATAAAATCGTAAAATCTAAATAAAGTAATGTTGGTAAGTAAAAGGAAGATCTACATAGCAGCCATCAACTCTTTTATTAATACCATTCGCAACATATCAAATCTGGATAACTTTTCACACCAAGCTAAATATCTAAAAGGCTATCAAGCTTTTTAAAAAAATATTAATCGAATTATTGCTCTTATGTTAATGTAGGTTATTTCATACATAAATAGCGCGACCTAGTTTAGAAGAGAAAATTGTCAATGAGTAATATGTAGACAAGTCCTC